TTTGTCTAAGTGCATATGCTTTTCAGGAAATTAAGGACCGGAAAAATGGAAAAGCTTTAAGATGAGAGAATAAGCTCTTTTATACTTAGGAAGAATGAGCTAGGGTTAAAGCAAGAAGCAGACCTTAGAAGTTAGAGTATGCTTAAAACTACCTATTTTTGTCCACAGTTTGACCTATAATGGCCTGGATTTGAGACCGAGTTTTACTTTTGTAGTAAAGAGTAATGACACTGTTTGGTGATTTGTTTTCCTTCATTGCACCATAAACTTATCTGATTACTTTACATATGGATTATTCTACTGAAAATACTAAACTAGATAAAGTTTACCTTATGCATGTATTACTACTTACTATATTTCATGTTCTCAACTTGGCTGGACAAATTTTGTCATCAATTATTCTAGGAGAAATGGATTTCACCTGTCTTCTTGTCCTTAGAATGGTAACATTGGTTTTGGGTCATGTAAATTCTGCTTCCTAATCTACCAAGTCTTCTCTTATTTAAGATACCAATTCTTGCATTCTGCTACTCTTCGCGGCATGTTTCCTTCTCAGCTAGCATGCTTCTGAGAGTTTTTTTTCTTCCTTTTTATTTTCTTTTCATGCAGGCTCTTTATTTCTGTGTTCCATTCCGTGAGCAATTGCTAGAATATTATGCGAACGTCAAAAATCCTGCTGATGCTGAAGAAAATCTCTTGACATGCTTAGCAGACTTATTTTTACTGGTAATTTATCTTTGAAATTGCAGACTGTCAAATCAGATTATTTCTTTGGATTGACATGCTTATAGTTACATAAAATCTACCTTATTGTCATGTTGCTTTTCTATTTTTGACATATATTTGATGGTTCTAAAACTAATATATAGGTTCTATATTTAATAAGCTGGAGACTATGACAGTAAAGGGGATTATATTTCCCCCTTGCATGCGAAACACTTTGTTTAGCTTTTGGATTAACTTTAATAATTGGTTTCATATTTCAAAATGTCCTATGCATATAAATATTTTAAAGGTTCAAAATTAAACTTGTTTAAAATTGCAAATAATAAATTATATCCCGAAGCTGCAACCGTATATTTCCAGTCTTGTCCTCTTTCATCCAGGATTGATGAAATACATTTACAATTAAAATGACTTGTATGGGAGGAAAAATTATGAAAAAAAATATTTTCGTCTTGAAATTGCTAATTTAGATGTGTTGGCTTAATGGCTTATTCTCCTCCAACTTGAATATCTTGGTTTGACTTGGAATGATTGTTTAGGTCTAGTAAAAAAGTTTTGTCCTTTTTACTGTTATCCCCTTATCCCTAGATGTGCAGCATAAGATGATACATGGGTCCTTATTTTTGTTTTATTCTGAACATATGATTAGTACTGATTTAAGAAAGTGTAAGGAAGTGGTTTTAGAATTGAATATTAATTTGGGTATGATTTAGTGTTACCTAATACATGGTTCACTGTGATTTGCTGAATGGAATCAGGAGCAATATGCCACCTAGTAAAAATGGTGATTGCTAGGCCCCTTAGATTACTTCATATAGATCTATATTTTAAGAATATTAGATGATCATATTAAATGCTATAATCAGAAGATTTTTTGTTATTTATATTTTATATGATCGATAAAGGTATCTACCATTCGTCTTGCTGATGCCTTTTTTCTTTTTTTATGATTGATTTTCATCTAAACATCTTTAACGTCTTTGCCTTCTAAGGTCAAAAGATGGCATCTACAGAAAATAATAATTTTGGTTTGGTAATGCGTATCTTTCAAAGTCACGGGAGTTCCAAATATTGGAAAGAGACTACTAATTTGAGGTGAAAATCTCAAATACGGTTCTGTAATAGCGATGGGAACAATGATGTTATTATCGACTATGATTATCTAACAGTTCAAGTATAGTTGATATACTTGAAGCGCAGTCAAAATATGGTTTTTGGGGGGTGGATTTTAAGGGCTTTGGCAAGTTGGAGGTCAGATTGCTAAATTCAAAAAAGAAAATGATGACATTCATTTTGGGATGGAGGGAGGAGTCATCATTCCCCTCATAGAATCAGGTCTTGTTGAAGAATAGACTGAGTTAATAGCCTTATGAAAGACGGGTTAAGATGTGTGTGTAGTAGAGCCAATCGGAATTACTTCCAACTATGTAGATTATAAAGGAACTGTCTGTCTTATCTTCTCTCCACTTTAATGAATTGCACCTGGGAGATGGGTCATGTGGAAATCTTGAGGGACTTGATGTGGTTAAATAGACCAAATTTGTTACCGACTCGGTGGTTGAAATGCACGAAAAATGTGAAAACCATATAGGTGTTCTTTGCTATTTGCAAACTGAAAGACCTGTTGCATTTTTTATTTTTTTTTCAAGGGGGTTCTTAAGTTCTATTTTGCTTACACGATCTCCTCCTTTTATTTTTTTCTCACAAGTTATATTGTCACTTACTTTGGAAGGCGATTTAGTGGTCTGTTTTAGAGGATTTATGAGCTGGGAGTATCAATGAGGATTAGAGGGTCTTGTTTTCTGTATTTTCTAGTTTGTTTCTTTTGAGATGGAAATAAAACTTCATCCATTTGCTTTCTAGGGCTTTATGAAAGTAATGTCCAGTTGCTAGCTGGTTCATTTGTGACCATTTTATCTCTGTATACAGGAAGTGAATAGGCATCAATGTCCATGGAGAAATGTGTCTAATTTTTTTTCAATATAGTCCTATAATTTTCATATGACCTGCTGCTCCATTGAGAACTTTTTTGGACACAGGTTGAAATCACGACTTCTGCACTATAAACAAGTTTTCCCCATATTTTTACTTAGAGGGTGTATTCAATTGGGGCTTTTAAAGATTTTTCAGACTTTTTTAAGTGCGTCTCTTGTGGATTTTTGTGGGCTTTTAAATGACTTCTATGAATTTGTTGAATTAGTAAAAATCTTTCATGGATTTGTGTAGACTTTCATTAAAGATTTTTAACAATTTTTAAATACTTTTGTTTTTGAAAAAAAAAAATGTCATAATAACCTATTATTTTGAACAATCATATTTCCCATATATAATTAAAAAAAATATATATTTTTTAAAATAATATAACAAATTTAAGTCACTCCAATTAGATTAACAAAAAAAAACTAAATACCAAATAAAAAAAAATTAATAACTTTTTAGTAATGTTCAACAAAAAAAGAAATAATAATAATAATAATCAAACATTTCCAACATCACTCCACATATCAATCGTTATAGTATCCTCCATGCATTATCATTCACTCTTTCTTGTTTTTGATTCTCTAAAAATGGTCTAAAGTTAGCCCTTCATTAAATGAAGAAGATGACAAATCTTCGTTATCAAGCTGAAATTCATTAGAACAACACTCTTTGCGAAGAAAATTGTGTAATTCTACACAAGCTAATACTAGCTCCGCTTGTGTACCATATGGAAATGAAGGAGCTATTTTGAAAACTACGAATCATGATTTAAATATGTCAAATATCCTCTCAACTACGTTTCAAGAAAGCATGATGAAAATTAAACAACTCCTTTTAGGGTACGACCTTGACCGGCAAAATCTTGAAGATGATAATAGACACCTCGAAAAGGAGTTAAGAATTGATGTCGATTTGAAAATTTACAATTTGTCAAAAAATGTTTACCTGAACATAAATACTTGTAGAATTAGCAAGTGACTTATAACATGTATAATCATGATTAAAAAGAAAAAATTGCATTATAAAGTCATAACTTGTGGCATATAAAGAAAAATTTAATACATGAAAAATTGAATAATAGTACGTAACAAAGATAAATAACCATGAGAATTAATTAAAAATTTGTATACCATTTATATCAATAATTGGTGACCATCTTGGGTACTTAATAACATCAATTAGTCATCATTTGTTAAGCACAGACACGTTGCTGGTGTCAATGTGTGTCGAAGTACATCTCTGACACGTCGTTGATGCGTGTCAGATTTCCTTGCAGCCTGTCGGATATGAAGAATTGCAGATTTTGTACAAAAGATTGTGAGTGGTGCTGTGAAGAAGACCGAGGAAGAAGAAAGAAGATGAAACGCATAGTGAAGAAGAAGATGGTGAAATGAAGAGACGTGAGGGTGAATGAAAGTCAGTGGATGTAAATGGATTACTCGTTGGCCCAGTAACATTAAATGCAATATAAAGGGAGATAAATAAATGAAAAGTCAGTGGATGTGAATGGATTATTTGTTGAGCCCAATAACATTAAATGCAATATAAGTTTCTATATATTTAATTTATTTTCCAGTTTTTTGTCTGACAATGCAATAGGGAATGAATTAACTTTTTTTTTACCATTTTATCCTCCATTAAAAAATCAAACATACAGAAGAAGTCAAATCACTTTCTTCCTCATTGTATAGCCTAAGGAAATTGCCAGAGGAATTAAAATAAGTATTAAAAACTTATTACTTTGGACTATCAAATTAAAATAAGTTAAAATAATAATATTTTAATTAACGTGTTGACGATGTAGCTTGTTAAAAATTATTTAGAAAATCACGTGTCTACGTGTCGAACACTCGTATCCGATACGTGTCAGACACTCGTATCTGTGTTGGTGCTTTTTAGGTCATCATTATATTATTAACTATGACAACTGTATTCACTTAATGATGTATGCGTATATAAATATGGATAGATTAGCTAAAGTACCATAGGAATCAAAATTCAATAACAAAAAAATTTCTATGATTAAAAACACGAAGTAGCAGTAATCATTTACGCGAGCAAGTATAGTCTGGGAATTTGCAATCTTTATAAATGTTGCATCATTAACAAAAAAATTTCTATGAAATTAATATAAATTCTATTAAGAACATGAATTGTTCTTAACCAAAAATAAACAAGAATGGGTTGATTACATGAAATTCTACGTTTTGAAATTGAGAAACAATTGCATATTATTTCAATTCAAAACTAATTATGACTTCTTCCAGATACACCAAATAACCATAAATTGATTACTGCAAATTCTTACCTGAATCAAAGAGATGTGAAAGAACCTTAGGAGGAAAAGAAAAATGACGTTCTTTTACTTTGGGTGCTGAAGTTTTCACAAATCTCATAGTATATGAGAGAATTTTATTTATTTATTTTTTGGAGATTTGATATCTATGCATTTCACCAAGAAGTCTCCAAAAGTCTAGTTAGGAGAGAACTCTCCAAAAGTCAATGTCTATTTAAATACCTTAGGCCTATGGAGACTTCTAAAAAGTTTTAATTAAATATCCTGTGATTGTAGATACTTTTTGAAAGCTTATAGAAGTCTCAATTGAATGCACCTATACTTCTAAAGAGTTTTTAAAAGCCTACATTGAATGGATATAGACTTTTTAATTCTTAAAAGTCTCTAAAAGACCCAATTGAATACACCTCGTTAAGTGTGCTTTTGTGTTCCCGTCTCCTTTGTTATGGTGTTCATTAGAATATTGCTACTGAATTACCTGTAAGGAGAAGCAAAATGATTTTCTATTTTTATGCTAGCATAAAATGGAAAATGCCATAAAGTGTCAAAATGTTCAAAAGAGATTTTGGGCAACAATTTAATCTTTTTAACTCTCTCTCTCTAGACTTAGGTGATTTATATCTAGCCCTGTTTGGTACCAATTAAAATCTAGATTTTTATGTAAGTCAAAGTCTTCAATTCATTTCAATCATATATTTTATGGGTCCCACAACTTTTCAACCACACATTTCATTAACTTCTATCAAAATTTACTAAAAATTTATTTTAATCCCTATCAAACAAAGGCCCAATCTTTTTGGGTAGCGTTACACAATTTTGAAAATGAAATCATAGATGATTATATATCCCGATCTTTAATTTCATCTACCAAAACAGGGCAACCATAAGATTCGATGACGCACGGTCACTCTTAGGGTAGCTTGACAGAGCTTTTGCATTTTGTGGAAGAATATTGGGTTAGCTTCCTTTAGAAGTTCTTTTGACCTGATAAAGCATTTTCAAAAAATTACATAAATAGGTCCTAAAGTAGCTTCTTAATCATAGAAGCAATTTTTGACTTTTCAATAGCCTTAATAAACTGTCCTTGCTAGGCATTGTGTCTGATATGTAATGTCTTGTGTTGGTTCTCGACACTTCTTTAATACTGAGGACATGTATCCAACCAGCCACATGTCCTCTTTCCATCTTTTATATATTTTTAAATTACCAATAGGAATACTTTATAGACACCCGTGGCGCCAGTATATGACATGTCCTATAAAAAATTATAAAAATATAGGTGTTAATATTAATTTAAATCGACATGTTTATGCCCTACTTTCTCAAAAAAACACCAGTTGGCATGTTTGTTTCATGTCTCGTGTATGTGTGTAGGTGCAATTTGGATGAGATACATATATATATATATATTTTTTCAAAATTCACATTCTTTTGGAACAAAATGGATGGAATCTAGATGTTCAAGATGTATCTATGTTGAATGATTGTGTGTGAGTTGACTAATAACTTTATTGGGAATGTTAACAATTTACCCTCTGCACCCCCCCCCTCCCCTTACCCTTCCCCTTCCCCTTCCCCTCTAAAGTGTAAGCTACACACACATGCCATTTACATGAAGTGTTTGTGGTGCATCTTAATCTATTATGAGACATTTATGTTCCAATTCATTTCAGTAAACTCCCCTCTAAATATCTTTTGTATTTCTTGGGCATAAAATTGATTTCATGTAGATAAGCTCGCAAAAGAAAAAAACTGGTGTCATTGCTCCAAAGCGTTTTGTCCAGAGATTGAAGAAGCAAAATGAAGTTTTCCGCAGCTTTATGCATCAGGTATGCTTTGGTTGTTCTGATTAGAAACATGTTAGATGTGCAATCATAAAAGATATGGACAAATATGTTAATGCCTGACTTCTTTCTTAAAAGGAAAAAAATGGAAAGAAAAATATGGACCCCGCCTGCCTTGATTGATTGATATGGACATCTACGTAGTTGTCGTATTTGATGAGACATTCTATATTGTTGGTGTTCAGATGCTGAAACCAGCTAGTTAATGTGTAACATTAGATTTTCGACTTGTGCCCTTGATGAAATATTGTACTGTGTGGATGCTTCCATCCTTGGATGAATTCAGAAGGTTGCGAAATTCAGCTAAGGGATGAATTTCTGTGTATTATATTTTTATTAGAGCAGGGATTTCTTTCGGAAACTAAATCATAATATAGCCAATTTCTTCTGCCTGCCGATACATCATCATAGAAATCCAGCTGCAATAATAACTTCATTGACAGACATTCTTCCTCCTAATCTGACACAAACACTTCGTATGACTTTCAATACCCTATGATGGAAAATTACTTCCTCCTAGAGGAAAATGTCATTACATGGTATATGAATTTTTATTTTGTATTTATTTATTATAATTTTTTTTAAGAGTCCATGTACTGCAATTTAACACCTCTTATGCTTACGGGAGTAGATATACAAACATTCATCTTCTTAACTTTTCCGCCTATGGTAAGATTTAACTCGCTCCTCTTCATATTATTTGACACATTTTCCTTCTCTGATGCTTCGTTAAAAATTCCACCAACTAAAAATGATAAGACTCACATTTAGGTTCTAAAATTTCCATTATAAGTTAGAAATGGAAAATGAGAAGTGATGGCCGCACATTCAATATCATTTGAAAAGATATTCTAGAAAGTGGATGGTAAGGTTGAGTCTTGAAATTGATGGTGAGATATCAACTATAATTGCATCCCTGTCCTCTTAAACTTTGCCCTGATAGGCGGTTTAACAAATAACATGAGAAGGAAGCGTATATGTTGTTTTATGATAAACTTAGTATAGTTTGGAAGAAGAAGAATTGTGCTTCTTATTTTATTCAAGAATGACGATTACAATTTAAACAGAAGGAAAAAGGCCGCCAATTTAGGAAGGCCATAAAATCAGAAAATAAAATGGCATATCTCTAGGCTACAGATCAGAAAACATATAGGATTTCTTAGTTTTACTCCCTAGAAATCCGACACCCCCCCTCAAGTTGGAGCGTAGATATCTATCATGCCCAACTTGCTTATACAAAGTTCAAAATTAGGTTTGAAAAGTCCTTTGGTGAAGATATTGACTGTTTGTTGAGTAGTGGGGATAAACGGCATGCAAATAGTTCCACTATCAATCTTCTCTTTTATGAAATGTATGTCAATCTCTACATGCTTCATGCGATCATGTTGTACTGGATTTTGAGCAATACTTATGGCAGCTTTGTTGTCACAATATAACTTCATTGGCATGTTCACCGGCATCCGTAGATCTTCAAGAATTTTCTTCAGCCATAGCATCTCACAAATCCCATTAGCCATAGCCTTATATTCTGCTTCGGCATTGCTCCTTGCAACCACATTCTATTTTTTGCTTTGCAATGTGATCATATTTCCCCAAACATAAGTACAGTATCCTGTTGTAGATCTCCGATCAATAACTGAGCCTGCCCAGTCTGCATCAGTGTAAGTCTCTATGTTTTGCTGTGTGGTCTTCTGGAAGAGTAACCCCTTCCCCGGTGTACCTTTCAAGTATCTAAGAATTCGATAAGCTGCTTCAAGATGTTTTGCGTAGGGTGAGTGCATAAACTGGCTTACCAAACTCACATCAAAGGCAATATGTGGTCGTGTATGTTATAAGTAGATTATTTTCCCACCAACTTTTGATACCGAGTTGCATTTACTGGATCACCTTCCTTGTTATCACCCAATTTTTTATTGGGATCGATTGGAGTGTCTGCCGGCCTACAACCACTCATCCCAGTTTCTTTGAGAAGGTCAAGGACATACTTCCGTTGGGAGATAGCAATTCCTCTCTTTGACCGAGCAACCTCCATTCCAAGGAAATATCTCAGAGATCCTAAGTCCTTGATCTCAAATGTTGATGAGAGGGAAATCTTCAATCGGTTCATCTCAAGTACATCATCTCCAGTGAGAATTATATCGTCTACATACACAATTAGTATTGCTATCTTCCCATCATGTTGTCCTTGAGTATACCCTTGACTTTTAACAAATTGAGAGAAATTTTCAAACCAGGCTCTTGGTGATTGTTTTAATCCATAAAGGGACTTCTCCAGTTTACATACCTTTGTGCCAAACTTTTCACAGAACCTCCGAGTTTAGCTTTGCGACTGGTACAAATGTCTCTAAGTAATCAATACCATAGGTTTGAGTGAATCCCTTAGCAACCAATCGAGCTTTATATCGTTCTAGAGAGCCATCAGATTTATACTTGATTGTAAACACCCATTTGCATCCTATAGTTGTCTTTCCTCTTGGTAGATCAACTACCTCCCACGTGCTATTTTTTTCAAGAGCTTTCATCTCCTCAAAGACGGCCTCTTTCCATTCAAGAACTTTCAGAGCATCTTGCACAGTATTAGGAATCTCCATACAAGACAATTGTGAGGTAAAAGCACGAAATACAGGTGAGAGATTTTTATATGACACATAATTGGACAATGGATGTTGGGTACAAGACCTCACACCCTTCCGGACTGTAATGGGAAGTTTAGAATCACCTATCTCAGGATAGGAATCAGACTTGGAGGGTTCAGAATTGATGAATTGAGTTGAACATGAGGTAAAGGTTCGGTGAGGACATTACCTGGAGGGTTTACGGATTCTGGGCAGTGCAAAGGATTGGAGGACCCTTTCTTTTGAGTTGTCCTTTGTCTCGAGTAGACAATGTCAAATGTTTTCTTGTAGTTCTTTCGTTGGAGACATCATGAGTTGTCACTATAGGAGGCCCTCCCTTTTCAGTATCCAAGAAACTTGACTCACTTGGCATAATGACGCTAGGGTTTTCAGGTTGAATGGTCAGGGTTGGAGAAGGATCATTTTGCGGTTCTGTAGTTTGGAAAAGATCATGGAAAATAGTTGCTGAATCTTCTTTGTTTTGGTTCCCCCCTGAAGATGAGGTGTGAAATAGGGTTGTAATTCAAAAAAGGTAACATCTATGGTAACAAACATTTTTTTGGAAATGGGTTCAAAACATTTATACCCTTTTTGAGTGGGTGCATATCCCACAACTACACATTTTGTGGCTCGAGGTTCGAGTTTTCCTCGATTTTATTTATGAATGTGAATAAAAGCGGTACAACCAAATATCTTTAGTGGTATAGATGAAGAAAGTCGATTTGTTGGATAAAACCTTTGAAAAACATCGAAAGGTGTTTTAAAGTTTAAAATCTTACTAGGCATTCTGTTTATGAGATATGTAGCAGTAAGAATGACTTCATCCCAAAGATATTTAAGTACCTGATTGGTAAATAACAATGCCCGAGTTACTTCCAGTAAATGTTTGTTTTTCTTTCAGCTAAGCCATTTTGTTGTGGAGTGTCAACACAAGAGCTTTGATGAACAATTCATTTTTCAAGAAAAAATTGGTTTAACATGTTTTTGAAATATTCTCGACCATTATCACTTCGCAATATTTGAATATTTTTTTGAAATTGTGTTTGTACCATGGTGTAAAGTTTTTGAAAATTATTTCCACTTCAGATTTTTCTTTCATCAGATACACTCAACTTATTCTCGTGTGATCATCAATAAAGGTCACAAACCATTTTTTCCCAAAGTATGTAGGTATTCTACATGGCCCCTAGATGTCACTATGAATCACAGTAAATGGTGTAGTTATTCTCGTGTGATCATCAATAAAGGTCACAAACCATTTTTTCCCAGAGTATGCAGGTATTCTACATGGCCCCCAGATGTCACTATGAATCACAGTAAATGGTGTAGGTGGTTTGTAAGGTTGGGTGGGGAAAGATGCACGATGATGCTTAGAAAACTGACAAACATCACATTGAAAAGATAACAGGTTTTTATTCCGAAGTAAGTTGGGAAACAGGTATTTTAAATACTGAAAGCTAGGATGGCCTAACCTATAGTGCCATAGCATAACATTATTATTCTCGAAATCAGAAACAAAATTTAAACAAGTACTTTGACATTGCCTACTTGAGTTAGGTCATTCGTCAAAATAATAGAGTCCATCTTTTTCCTTAGCACTACAATCATCCTCCTCGTAGTTAATTCCTGAAACTCACAATGAGAAGAATAGAAATTAGCTTGACACTGATGATCAGATGTGGTTTTACTGATGGATAGCAAATTGCAAGACAAATTGGGAACATGGAGTACATCATGGAGGGTTATCAATGAAGTGAGTTTGATAGTTCCTATCCCGGCAATTATTGAGAGTGAACCATCAGCTATTTTTACCCTTTTATTGCCTGCACATGGACTATAGGATGAGAACAATTGGGAGCAACCGGTCATATGATCGGTTGCGCCAGAATCCATTATCCAAGAAAGAGCACAATTAGGGATAACACCTAAAAAGGCAGTGACAAGAGAATTACGCTTTTGTACCAAGGAGCAGGAAGGAGTTAAGGATATTTTTGGAGATTGAAATAACTTGTACAGGTGCTCTAATTGTTCCTTGGAGAAAGGAACTGCATCTAAATCGGTTGAAAGTTCTTGAGTTTCTTCAGATATGGTTTGGTAGGCTCGACCTTCTCTTTTGGACTTTGGTTTCCAGTTGGCTAGTTTACCATGAAACTTCCAACACGTATCCCTTTTATGCCACGATTTTTTGCAATAATTGCACCATGGTTTCTTCTGCCCATCATTGTCTGAATCCATTTTAGACACAAGGGCAAAACTGTTAGGCTCCAAATTAAGGTCAAATTCGGTCCGGTGCAGCATTATTTTCCTCCTTGGTTCTTTGCGTCTAACCTCATAGAACACCTCACGCATAGGAGGCAGTGGTTTTCGACCAAGGATACGGCCCCTAACCTCGTCCAGATTCCGGTTAAGGCCAGCTAAGAACATGTAGACCCTGTCATTTTCCTCCCTCTTCATGTGACGAGCAGCATTATTTGGATTTTCCCAGACATCATCATAACATTGATCAAGTTCCTGCAATGGTGTTACTAATTCGTTGTAGTAGGTAGTAACATCGTGATCGTTCTGTTTGGACTTCCAAAGTCGGGTTTTTAAATCAAAAATTTGGGAAGAATTTTCCAGATCCGAATAAAGGTCCCGAACTGCCTCCCCGACGTCCTTAGCAGTGGGAAGAAACAGATGAGGCTTTCCAATGGCGGGTTCCATTGAATTGATGAGCCAGCCAATAATTAGAGAATTTTCAGACTGCCATCTTTTTACATTCGGGTCGTCGGCAGCAAGTTTCGTTGTTTCGCCGGTAAGATGCCCAATTTTGCCCTTGCCATCGATTGCTAATTTGACGGACTGAGCCCACTTAAGATAATTGTGTCCGTTGAGTTTTGTAGTCATGAGAAAAGAGGCTGAAATTTGGGGATAATTATCTTTTGATGCAAACGAGGGAGGAGCAGTGGAATTGGGAGGAACGGTGGGGTTGGGATGAGCGGTTTCAGGCGCACCGGAATCGGCGGTTGGGTTTCTTTGGGCGCCGGTCATGGCCGACTTATATGACATCATCTGGGAGGACGAATTAAAATTTGGGAGGACGAATTAAAAGGGGAGCACAAGGCTCTTATACCATATAGTTTGGAAGAAGAAGAATTGTGCTTCTTATTTTATTCAAGAATGACGATTACAATTTAAATAGAAGGAAAAAGGGCACCGATTTAGGAAGGCCATAAAATCAGAAAATAAAATGGCATATCTCTAGGCTACAGATCAGAAAACATATAGAATTTCCTAGTTTTACTCCCTAGAAATCCGACACTTAGCTTATCGTAGAGCTGGACTTTGAGGTAATTTGGTGGATTGAAATGAATTTTTTAATTACCTTATCTTGATCGAAGTGGATTTATTAAGGAGAAATGTGGGTTTTGATTCAACTATTTATACGATTTTATTGCCATCAACCACCCTTCAAGTTTTGAGGTATTATATTTACTAGAAAAACAGCCAAAAATTTTGGGGTATTGCTATTTAGTACTACTAGTGCCATCACCAGGGAAATGAGTTACATGTAAGATGTCCTATCAGTTGCAGGTCACTTAGGCTGGTGCTATAGCACAAGTGGTGCTACATAATATTATTCTAAAGTTTGTACTGATTACACTACAACTATTTAAATTTTTAATTTTTTACTGTTTAAAGCTTAGTAGGAAGGGCCTATAGATGGTAAGATGTTTTCTCCACCTCCCCCTTTTCCTATTCTGCCTCTTTTTAGGAGTATTTGGGAGGGGTGAATGGGTTTCCATGCGAATGTATAAGTTTTATATATTTTATCAGGTCAGAGACATTTAAGTCACTTATTTTGTCAAACATGATCTCAAATATACTTTATGTACCAACAAAACTTGCATCTATAGAAACCAAGTCTTAACTTATTTTTCTAGAAAATTAACTATTAAACACACCAAACAAGCTCTTGGTTAAGTTTGTCTTTTGGTAAATTCTATGTTTAAATGACTTTGTTCATAAAATGTTATGTTTTACTACACTGAAGTTGTAGGATTTTGTACATATGTTTTAAGAATCCTAGAATTATCATGACTTCATTCAGAACCATGAGTTTATGGTCAAATAACTTCATTTTGTTATTTCAGGACAATTATACCTGGGGGAATTGATTTACATGTTGTTGACCAATAGTTTTCTGCTTTTGATTTATCAGGCTACATTTTCTCTTCTGTATGTGCCATTTGCTCTTTCTCCCTTCCCCTCTCAACACTCTCTTCTTGTTATTAGTTTTCTTAATTCTCATCTGAAAGGGAAAAACCACAAGAGTCATGATGGTAACCGCACTGATTTCCTTCCAAATTTCTCAAACTAATAATAAAACATCTCAGGTGAGTTACATTTATTTGTAGGGTGGAAAATGGGGTCACGTTGTGGTTTCAAACAGGTTGAAGATGGAGGTAAATTACACACGATTTTAAGCCCAACATGTCTAGTTGAGCCACTGGATGAAAATTGATTGGACCAACTTTGGGACGGATTGAAGCCACACTCCATGTTTATTATTGAGAAATTCCAATTTTTTGCAATTCGAGTTTCTTTGTGTTTAGTTTGGCAGCAAGTAAGGATTTAGAGGGAGAGCGTTAATTCTTTGAAGAGATTAAAAGGATCCAAAGAATAATTGAATATGATTAGAATAAGAATCGCTATTTCTATGTTAATTGCATAATCAATTTGGTATAATCTATTGGACGTGTTGGTGTAGTTGCCAGACGTTGCACCAGGTAAATGCATGTTCAATAGTTGAAAAAGTTCACCTTGAAAGTTCCTTAATTGGTTCTAACATGTCTGTCCTTGAATACTGTTTACCAATGCTTTGTTCTCATGAATCCTTGATTGTTTAACAATGCTTAATGGTTGTACACTATCAATTTTGTCCTTGTGTACTTCATGCCTTTGCTTTATTCTTACAAAGCAGTTTGTTGGACATAGTAATATTACAGATGGAATGCATATATCATATATTTTCATGCATTTCATTTTCTATTTCCTACTTATAGTTATTAATGATTTTGTGTATTTTCTATATATATTAAAAACTATGTTTACAATTTATATCTGCTAATGCTGTTCGTATCTTTCTTATCTAGGATGCCCACGAACTCCTGAACTATTTGCTAAATGAACTGGCTGACATATTAGAGAAAGAGGACCGTGTTGCTAAGAGTGATCAAGAAACTTATTCTCCATCTGAAAAGGTTGCTAATGGGCGTATTACTTCTAATGGATCTAGAAAGGAGCCTCTGGTCACCCTGGTGCACAAAAATTTTCAGGTGATCCTGTTTTCCTGTTCATCTTCATGCTCCTCTCCATCACCCCTTCTGTTTCTCTCTGGGAACTGTTGATTATAAGGAAGGGCTAGATACTGCAATTTTGTCTTGTTTTCTCCTCTCTCTCTGTTTCTCATTGCTGTAACATTTTATGTTGAGTTGTTGGCTACACTTCTATAAGATATTCTGATGATAGGCCTGGAGCTTGTTCAAATTACTGGACTTTTGTCTTCTTTTTCATACTACTAAATAGTACTACTTTTAGCCTCAATGGCTAAAAGAGGTGGTTGGCATTGATTTTGCTCTCATAGTTCTGCTTTTTCGTTCATCAAGCAACTAGTTGGGACCTTCTTGGAATGCATTAAATTTTCATGGCTTTATTTGGCTTCTTTGCTGGAGTATCATTGTCATTAATGTTTGATTTTCAGGGCACATAAGCAACTTGTCTTGTTTTCCTCTCTCTCTCTCTCTCTGTGTTTCTTATTGCTGTGTGTAACATTTTATGTTGAGTTGTTGGCTACACTTCTATGAGACACGTGTCTGCATGATTCTGATGATAGGCCTGGAGCTTGTTCAAATTACTAGACTTTTATCTTCTTTTTCATACTACTACTAGTACTACTTTTAGCCTCAATGGCTAAAAGTGATGGTTGGCATTGATTTTGCTCTCATAGTTCTGCTTTTTTGTTCATCAACTAGTTGGGACCTTCTTGGAATGCATTAAATTTTCATGGCTTTATTTGACTTCTTTGCTGGAGTATCATTATCATTAATGTTTGATTTTCAGGGTACATTGACAAATGAAACAAGGTGCTTGTGTTGTGAGACTGTGACGGCAAGGGATGAAACTTTTCTCGACTTGAGCCTTGACATTGAACAGAACAGTTCAATTACAAGCTGTCTGAAAAATTTTAGCTCCACCGAGACTTTAAATGCTGAGGACAAATTCTTTTGTGATAAATGCTGCAGGTAGGTTGCATTTTAATTATACTTGGATGGTGTGGTCTACTTTTTAAACTGCCTATGGTTTTCTTGCTATTGGATGGACTAGTCTCATATTATCAAGGATGAGGCGAGTTACTGATAATTGTTTATGTTCAGAGTCGAGCTATGTGTTTGACAGGATTTAATTCATCATAGAATTAATTTTTCTGGTTAATAGCGGGTAATGTAATTCATTTATCTTCAATGTACTTTTTACTACCGATTTCACAAAAGTGAACTTTTACTGAAATAAAAAATAAGAAAAACTGTGTTAAAAGTGCTTCCTGAAATAATGACACAGTTCATACTCATTTGAATTCTTTTCTATAATTTGGAAAATGAGTGGATATTGGATTTAACTGTTAACCAAGGATGTGTTACTGAGTATAGTTCTGAATCCCCACCGAGGCTCCTATACATAGCGTGTTATCTCCAATGGATTATAGGAATTTCTCTCTAATTGCACTGTTAACCCAGGAAGTCTCTCTTCCATTTTTTTTTTTTTTTTTTTTTTTGGGGAGGTGGGTGGGGGGACGTTGTTTTTTGGTGGGTGGCTGTGCTGTTTCATTGTTGAAAGTTAAATTGATAGAATCATTTGGCCGACCACCAGTTTAATATAGACATGCCTATTACAAGTCTTTATTAATAAAGAATGAAGTTGGTCTTGTATCTTTTGGACTTTTTCTATTACAAGATATTCACATTGTTTCAATGTTCAGTTTGCAAGAGGCACAAAAGAGAATGAAAATAAAAAGGCCCCCTCACGTCCTGGTCATCCATTTGAAGAGATTCAAGTACATTGAACAACTGAACCGGGATAAGAAGCTATCTTATCGTGTTGTCTTCCCCCTTGAGTTGAAACTGAGCAATACAATCGAGGATGCAGATGCTGAGTATTCCCTATTTGCCGTAGTAGTCCATGTGGGGAGTGGGCCCAACCATGGACACTACGTTAGCGTCGTGAAAAGTCACAACCACTGGTTATTTTTTGATGACGAAAATGTTGAGATGATCGATGAATCTGCTATTCAAACTTTCTTTGGATCAGCACAAGAGTATTCTAGTAACACAGATCATGGCTACATCTTATTTTACGAAAGACTCGTTGATTCTAGCACTAGCTGAAAGGAGATACAATTTTAGCCTGGGCCTGTACTTTTCCAATTTTAGTCTGATTTTTTAACATTTTTGACGTTCTCTGTTCTTCGCCATTACCCTTCTATAATTTATGGGAAACTGTTCTTAATATCAAGCAGGTTGATATGACTTAAAGAATATATGCTTGGTTTGTGCCATGTACAGTGATGATGGATGCTAACGGTTCATTCTTCCAACAATAAGGAGAAAAAAAATGTACTTTTTTGTAAACTCTAATTTTGTTTTCAGATTCATGAGAAATAATTCCCAGCTTTTGTGGCTGACGTGTTTTGCAGGTTGAGGTTTCTTCTCCTCATTGTGACTGTGTATATGTAATGGATTTGTATGAATTTTGGTTAAATTTTATGGAGTATTACCAATGCCCTGTCTTTATCTTCTCCCCCTCGAATGTTGTCAATAATTATGCTTAACGTGTGATTGCCCATAGTGTCATCTACAGATGAATAGGTCGGGAAGAAAGAGTACAAGAATGAGTTGGGCAGTGTACATCTTGTTAAAGGTTTGCCTCGTTCCTGGGTAGTTCACTTGCTTGTAGTGCCTATGATGCCTTCTTTTTTATTTGGGACATCAAGAAATTCTTCATGTTGGTTTGGCTGCTGTTCAGTCTTCTCTGCACGAAGGATAAAGTTATCAATTTTTCTACAAAGAGCAGTGCGAATCAACATTTGTAATTGCATTTCCACAGCCTCTTTTTTGTATTATTATTATTATTATTATTATTTATTTATTTATTTATTTTATTATTATTATTTTTTTGGAAAGGGTTTGCTTGTTATTGCAGTGTACAAGTTAGCCAGGTATCATCACATGGAATAACAAAAATATTGAACAAATAACTTCAAATTGTTCGCGCTCACTTTTAGTGGCCATCACGCCTTAGCACAACATTAACAGGTCCGGCGTTCAGCATCGTGTCTTGACTTCAACAGACGATTTCAGTTTGTTTCTAGTACTTATCTATGTTTCTTTAACTTTTTGTTTACAGCGTTGGTTGAGAAAATTGTGTGGTCTTTCATTTTTATTATGCCATTTGTGATGGTTATACTAGTTGGGAAATGGTGGTTTGTCAATATATCAAAAAAGGTTAAGATTAATTGGCAGGAGCCTAATTAAACTCCGTGAGAAAGTTAAAAACAAAAAGAAAGAAGAAGAATGAAAAAGTAGTAAGAAAATAGATCGGAGACAAGTGATTGACAATTTTTCCTTAAGACAAAATTGCCCCACATAGGTGTTGATGGATTATGGCACTTGTCTTCCAAGATACAACGGATTCAACTTGTGGTAGAAGTAGTTCAAACCACAAGCAACAACGAACTCGAATAAGATTCTTCTCTACAAGAAATTTGATTTTGGAATGATTTCTAGAGAGGGTTTTCAAGAGTTTTGATATAATGCTCAATGAAAATGATATGGGATGCAAAATGGACGTCTAAAAGGTCTTATATATAGAAGAGAGGTTGTGAATGAAATAATACGATCCAAACTTCGTAACCTTACGAAGGAAACCATCCATTGCTATCGTTGGCCTCTCATTCGAGTGCCAGCATCATATTTTCAATAAAAACTTTTCGCCTGCCTGTCGCTCGAGCACTAGGCGAGCGATGGAGTCCGTCAAATTTTTCGACCAGTTTTTCCTATTTTCTTTCCAATTTTGGATCACAATTTCTCATTCATCCGAAATAGATTTTGAGATTCTAAATATACCATAACGATCTACTCGACTAGTAAAATAAGGCAATCTATTTACATATATATTTTGACTATTGGATCAAGTTCGAATATTTGATCGAAGTTGACATAAAGTTACTTTCAATATTTATACTTAACCAAAATTTCAATCTTTAAACCAAATTTCAACAACCCCCCGCACGAATGCAAATCCAAATATGTTCATGCTATACAAAAGTAAGATGTACTGTAGAGAGAAAAAGCAGAAAAACACTGCATCAGGTAAAGTTGATTTACCAGAATATTAACGTAAGACATTTTGCCGTCCTTTGAAAAGGATTTTCAGCTTTTGATTTGAACATTTTTTAGTGAAATACCATCGGACTTACTTGGCTAATTTGTGAATATGATGTTTTGATCCATTTAACCGTTGGTGTAAATCAAGACAATAATACTCATATAGATGTCTTTCCTATATCATTATGGTTCTCATAACTTGGTTCATTTTGGCCTTGAACTATTCTTGTGTTTCATAAGTGTTTTGAAAATTTCAGCCTCTTAAGTTTTCGTTTAAGCATCCTCACTTTACACTTATAAAGGTAACCTCATATTAAGAGTATCATGCTCTACTTTACTTGACTTATTCAAGATATAAGAATCATTAAAAGTATATTTAACCTTTAACATTCTGTAGAAAGCACTTCAATTGTCATACGAATGAGTTGGGAAGTAATTCCCTAAGTGTTTGATTGAATCTTCATAATTTAGTTGCCCCCTTGAATCAAGATCTCGGAATCTCCAGTCAACAAGGTAGGGTTACCATTACAAAGATTCTTACGTAATAGGCTTTAATCCATTTCTTTCGATAGACAACATACTTGATCTCTAGGTAAACTTTTTGTAAATGGATCCGTGATGTTCTCATCTGTCTTCACATAATCAATAGAGATGATACCATTAGAAATAAGTTGCTAAATTGTATTGTGTCTATGACGTATATATCTAGACTTACTATTAAACATGCTGCTCTGAGCTCTTCCAATTGTCGATTGACTATTAAAATGTATACTTATTATGAGTACCGATTTAGGAAAACATGGAATATCTTACAAGAAGTTAAGAAGCCATTTTGTTTCTTCTCTAGCGTTGTCCAACGCAATAAACTCTGATTCTATTGTCGATCAAGCTATACACATTTGTTTAGTTGACTTTCATGACATAGCAACTCCATCAATGATAAATGCATAATCACTAGTAGACTTAGAATCTTTCATGTCAAATATCCAATTGGCATTACAATATCTTTCCAATATTGCGGGATATTTTGTGATGTGTAATCCATAAGTTAAGATATACTACAAGTACTTAAGAACCCTTGTTGAAGCCTTCCAATGATCATGGTTTAGATTGTTTGTGAATCTACTAAGTTTATTTACAGCAAATGCTATTTCCGACTGAGTGCAGTTTGTAATATACATTAGATTGCCTATAACATATGAATGTTTTATTTGTAACACACATTTACCCGTATTTTTTACTAAGTATGAGCTTGTGTTAATAGGGATTTTCGCAGGACTTTCCTCAAATGCATTATATCTTTTAAATATACTCTCTATGTAGTGAAATTGGGAAAGTATAATTTCTTTCAATAATCTAGAGATCTTAGTTCCTAATATCACATCAGCCAAACCCAAGTCTTTCATCTTAAAATATTTCATTAACATTTTCTTGGTGTTTAGCATAATTTTGTGACTATTGGTCATTATTAACATGTCGTCTAAATATAGATATACAATCACATAAGTTTTTGGTTGTTTTTTTTTATGTATGCACACTTGTCAAACTCATTTATCTTAAATCCATTTGACAACATAGTTTTGTCAAACTTTTGGTGTCATTATTTAGGAGCTTGTTTCAATCTATATAAAGACTTAACAAGTTTACAAAACTTTTGTTTGTGATTAGAAGAAATGAACCTTTGAGTTGTTCCATATACATCTCCTCTTCTAACTCACCATTTGGAAATGCCATTTTTATATCCATTTGATAAATCTAAAGGTTATGTAATACGGCAATAGCTATTAACAACCTTATCAAAGTGATTCTAGTTACGGGTGGGTAGATATCAAAGAAGTCAAATCATTCTTTTTGTTTATATCCCTTTGGCAACTAATTAAGCATTGTATTTGCCAATGGATCCATCTAGTTTTAGTTTCTTTTTAAAAATCCAAGTACACCCTAAAGACTTGTTTCCAAGAGGTAAATCAACTAATTCTCAAGTATGGTTTTGCATTATAGAATCAACTAATATTTTCGATGTAGACATTGCTTCATCAAAAGTTTTTGAGTCATTTTTCACTATATAGGTTAGAAAATCTAGGCCAAATGAAGTAGATATTGTAGTCCTTTTACTACGTCTTGGTTCTTCCTTATTTGAAGTATTGCTTGTAGTATCATAAGTTCTTTTTTCCGAACTTTCACTTTCCTTGTCTTTACGTGGAAAAATATTCTCGAAAAATTATGCATTTCTTGATTCAATTATGGTTTTTTCATTTATATTTTAAATTTTAGATTTATGTACAAGGAAACGTTATGCACTATTATTATTGACGTATCCAATAAATATGCAATCAATCGTTTTGAGACTGATTTTCACTTTTTTAGGCTTAGGTACTTCAACCTTAGCTAAATACTCCAAGTTTTCAAGTGGTGGTATGAAGGATGATGATCTTTCCATAGTTCATATGGAATTTCATCCATTTTCTTGAAAGGTATCTCGTATACAATGCTATTTGCATATGAAATAGCTTTTCCCTAGAATTTTTGGGGTAGACCCAAACTTATCAACATTGCGTTCATAATCTTTTTTAAGAATTCAATTTTTGCATTCAACAACACTATTCAATTGAGGTGAGTAAGTTGCGTTGTTTAATGAATGATTCTATTCTGAAAATAATATTCTTCAAACGATGCCACATATTCACCACCTCCATTACTATGAATATTCTTTATTTGTTTCCAAATTGATTCTCAACTTCTATCTTATAATGTTTGAATACATCTAAGATCTCGTCCTTACTCAGTATTAGAAAGACATAACAATGCTTTGTAGAATTATAATTAAAGTTATAAAGTATTTCTTACCACATTTAGTTTGAACGAATCTCAAATCGCATATATCGCTATGTATTAACTTAAAAGGTGTCGTGTTCCTTTAAACCGAGTGAAAAGGTATTTTGGATAACTTGGCTTCAACACATACCTCACACCTATGATTAGGATCAATCTTAAACGTCAGAATTAAACTTTTATTTATAAGTTTTCACAAAGATTTATAGTTAACGTGTCCTAATCGATATGCCATAAACAAGACAAATTGGATTAGTATTTTTATTCATAACGCTTTTTGGTACAATTTTTTTAGTGCATGCATTTTGAACATTCCTTCATATAAATTAGCCCTTACCAATATACATATCATTTTTTGTAAGTACAAACTTGTATGATACAAATACAAGTTTAAAATTGTTCTTGCTATGTAG